ATTTCAGGGAGTTGTGTGGGGGTGAGTTTTGGGGGGCTATAAATGCATGCCACACTTTTCTGTTTTTCTTTGTAAAATCATGCATAATTTCTCCTTTATTTCTCCATTTTTCTCCCCTTTTTTCAAACAAAATCCCAAATTTTAACGGGACACATGGAAACATTTAAGGGGTGTGGATTTTTTTTTTTTTGATACCGCATTTATTCAGTTTTAATTGTTTTTTTGACAAACCGGCTCCATCAGACAGTTTGTTTCCCTTCATCGATCAACCCTGGTTTCCACAAACCTTCTCCTGATTCAGTGATTCTCTACTGAACAAAATCCTGAGAACCAGAAAATTAAAAGTTTCTTTACAAATTCTGCTTCATTGTTTCTGCAGTTAGAAGCTCGAAAAGCACCACAACCTTCTGACTGAGCTTTACGTCTGTAATTCCACGTGGGAATAAACTGACAATTTATTCCCTCGCCTGTCATTTCACCGACAGTCACCAAGAAGAAGAAATGACAAAAGCTACTGGAGCAAAACCATCAGATACAAACTGACAGCAGCTCGGATCCGGAGCCGGAAACTTTGAAATCTTTCTATCTGGAATCAGAAAACGACTCGACTCACTAAACAGAAACTCAATAGAATGAAGTGCGGTCCAACTCAGACTATCAGAACTAAGGATAAACTTTACTCTACGGCAACCAAAACAAACTCACTGCAGCCATCGATGCTCAGCTGTTTGATCTGATCTCTAATCAGGATCTGATTTACCAGCTTCAAGGAAAACCTCCACATCACAGGTTTGAAGTAAACGAGTCCCGTTAAGTTGGGTCTGTGTCCCTCAGAGCCGCTGATTCAGGCACAGCCAGACATTAGAGCCTCAGGTTGTCCCTGCCGCCGGAAGCTTACGGGTTAAAGTAATCATTTAATCCATCAGATGTGATTCTCCCACAAAATCTGTTGATGGATTGGAAGATGAGGGTGATGGCACGGCGACCTTCCAAGCAAAAAAAACCTTGGAGCTCCTCCTCAAACATGAATGGTAACCATGCTGATGGAGGCACACAGAAAGCTGCTCAGCGATTATAAAGAAGCACTTTGGTTCTCTGATCCTCAGCAAGGAGGAGTTCAATCAGTTTCAACACAAAATGTGTGGAAATGTCATAAAAAACATTATTTTTTACATCGCCAGACGATTTTTTTACCTGTATTTCTATCTTTAAATTATTCAACCAGGGGTATGAATAATTTTGAGCTAAACTGTTACTTTTAAAGGTGATTAAAGCGGACACTTCTATTCATCATTTTACCAGTATTGCCTCTAATCAAATAGAAATAACATATATACTCCAATCAGCTGAAACATCTCTGCA